GTATTTCTAATGTCTTCTATCAGGATTGATTTATGCTAAACTCTTTCTCTGTGCGTTTGCATCGAATACGATTCACTTCATTTAGTGGTTTCATCTCTAACTTCTCTCTCGCTCTATGTTCACCTCTGGTCTCAGAGTGATAATTCTTTATGTACCGGGGTTCTTACATGCAGACAACATGCCGCGACATCGGTTTCAAACCGAAGCACTTAAAAAGTAGTGATTATTTTAATTAGAAACGGTATTCAGTTCGTTATATGTATAGATATATATATATATATATTACCAGTATATACAAGTCAGATGTATCAGTGATCGTTGATATGAAAGAAAATGCTTCGAGCGTTACCAAACTTCCATAAACGTTTGCACTATTGTGTGTACGAATCAGTGCCTAAATTGTGTTCATTCATGGATTTGTATGCCATATTGTCACACTAATCATGCACTTTGATAAAGTTGCAAATCTATCCTACCTATACGATTTCCATCACTGGTTCTTCTTTCGGACCGAAACTCAAAAGTGCTGAAAAATCTTTGAGTTACCGAGCTTCTGAAAACTTGAACTACTCATGTATTATGACGCTTATGCTTTCTGCCATAAGAGTATCATCCGCGAGCCTAAGTCAGGTACAGTCAACGGATTCATCGTACTGACGAAACCCATCGAGGCCAAAAGAACTCCAATGTTTTATTTTTGCATCTACGATAACCTACCGATATGTTTCTGAGGTTTGAATCTAGCGCATCAAAACAGCTATATTAGACCATAGATGACGGCTAGACGAAAAACGAACAGCATCTGTCGAGAGTTTAGATCAGTGGAACAGCTGAGTCGTCCGAAATGGAGTCAATCGGTAATCCCTTTTCACTGGTCGAGGGTAACTCGATTAGTTTTCTAACGGATTGCATCTATAACACTGTTTGTCTTCGGATTGATGACCATTAACCTTTCTCACGTGATCGAATCTCCAACTGAGAACCGATTGTTTCATACAGTAAGCCTTACCTACCATTGCAACACATTAAAGTACGGTCTTGTCTGAGCACGCTATGGTATTTCCCTCATTGACTATTATTGCCATGATTATCAGTACTTTCTGCACAAAACTCAGTCAGCTCTTTCCCGGTAAAGCAATAGATTTTTGCCGAGGACCTTGATGTGTAGAACCTTTAGGGTCCATCAAACGTGGGATAATCAATCGTTAACATCTTAAGAAGATGTTATCTATGTTTCTCTCTATCTCTCTTTATCTTTTTTTCCATTTTTGAACAATTCCGAAAGATCATAACTCTCAATGAACAGTCCTTTCTGAAATAAATTTGTCAATACTATGCTTTGATTCTCAAAGTTGTTGAAGAACCTGATATGTTATATTCAACCTTTTTTCTTGAGTTTTGTTATTTAATTGATTTAATTATGCCTGATTACTTCATCTCTTAGGATTATACAACCCATAGCAAAATAACTCTATGATGAAAACAAGTATCCTATTCGTTTGTTCGTCTCATCTTCGTTCGCACAAAGAATGAAGCAACTGATCTGATAGTTTTACTGGTCTATGGAGGAGGGCTGAACTCGTTAAACCAAAACTCATACTGTGTTTATTATTTGAAAAAAACACACCAAACCTCCTAATTATATGAAATCTTATTCGATCGGTATGTTTTATTCCAACCATTCAAGCGTTATTTTATCCCATTAATTCGTTTTCCGTTTATGAGTTACACTTGAATAATGACAGTAGCCAGCATATTCCCTCCGTCATCATCAGCGTTATAACTGCGATCTATGCACTCAAACGTTGTTCATTTGTAGGTTCAATGGAGACTGGCAACATCATTTCCCGACTCCCCCGGTGAGCCTGCAGCGCATGTCAATGGACTGTGGAGCAGTTTAAGTGATTTTGATTACGCGTTCGATCGGACCGCACTGACCAGATTGTCTGAACCACTGAGTTTACTGTTTGTACATGGATCTGGATTGTTCGACACGACCACCATGCGCCACAATATGGTGTCAACACCTTCAGGCAGTTCAGTGCGTCGAAAACGTCATCAGCCCCAGTATCTTCATCCTCTGGCTGTTCGCCCCCAGTTGGTTCCAATCGGTGTACGAACTGATTCGGAACACGAAATTCATCCGTTAGCACTGGCATATGATTGGGTGCATAATCTGATCTTCTGGACCAATGGAACATCAGGGACGATTCATGTTACGCATCGGGCATCTGGGTGGTCCAAACGACTAATTCAACTCACGGAAGGAAGTCAACCCTTAGGTATTGTAGTCGATCCGAGATTTGCTAGGCTGTATTGGATTACTCGTGGGCGCCAATCCATGATTGAAATGATGGATATGGATGGTCAGGTATGTCGTGCGAAAACGCTAAATACACGATTCATTTTGCCCTTTATTGATTTCATTCATTAGGCTAAGGAGTCTATTAAAAGGCTGGATAACATGCCTTTCTTCTGGGACGCCGACATATTTTGAACCATCTGAACCGGCTTTAATGACAAGGAGTGATCCTTTTGTGTTATTTATACACCGTATCGAATATCACAATTCTAATGTGATAGACGCTGGTTCAACGGACTTGTAAACAGTCCGTATTGATTATCAGCCACAAAACCTGTACTGTTGGGGGTGATAAGCAAACTGTCATATCGGTAAGATTAACGGAACAGTTCTTCCATATAAATTATTCGAGATGGTGTCCGATCAGTAATTGAGAACTCTCACTCTTAGAGTCGTCATTCTTCGAGCGCTTTACCCTGTGTTATTTCCTTCCCCCTGAGAAAGACCCCAATTAAATTATGTTCATTCATGGATTTGTATGCCATATTGTCACACTAATCATGCACTTTGATAAAGTTGCAAATCTATCCTACCTATACGATTTCCATCACTGGTTCTTCTTTCGGACCGAAACTCAAAAGTGCTGAAAAATCTTTGAGTTACCGAGCTTCTGAAAACTTGAACTACTCATGTATTATGACGCTTATGCTTTCTGCCATAAGAGTATCATCCGCGAGCCTAAGTCAGGTACAGTCAACGGATTCATCGTACTGACGAAACCCATCGAGGCCAAAAGAACTCCAATGTTTTATTTTTGCATCTACGATAACCTACCGATATGTTTCTGAGGTTTGAATCTAGCGCATCAAAACAGCTTTATTAGACTATAGATGACGACTGAACGATAACTGAACGGCTTTCAACGGGCAGCGAGTTGTCTGGTCACTGAATGAGGGATGCTATATCGACTTCACGTTTGCTCGTCCCATACTGTATCAGCCCCCATAAATGAATTAACTGGATGGCACACATAATACGTCACCTAACATAAAGTATAATAAATAATTTCTGGGCTTTCAATTCGCGTTCGCATCATTTGGGCATTTTTTCCATGGCCTAGAATATTTTTGTGATCCAATCTGTGACTATTGTCACTACTGAACATCATATTCTCTTTGGTACACAAATTCCCGTGTCTCTTACGAAAATTCTTTCCTTATTGCACAAATTAGTTAAGAATGTTCAGCTTTTCTTTCCATTAGGACTCAAAAAGTACTTACCCCGGAAGAAGTTAGATTTTCTTCGGGAACCGGTTTCGTTACTGAATGAAGCAGTCATTCTGTACCATCCCGTTGTACAGTTAAACAACATTTATCAATCCTATCCACTAGCAATATTCATGGCACCTTATTTTTTGATGAATTCGGGATATTGGTGGGCAAAAAGAACGCTGGACAGTTGCTCCGTCTATAGTGGGATCACACAAGCAGTGCATACTTTTTGTGTCTCTACCGGGACTGACACCGTGGGGTTGGAGTTCGAAACCTTTGTTCATGAGCGACACTTTTTATTACACATAATACGAGTTACATTAAAAAGAGGAAATCCTCGTAGACAAAGGGTATACTGTAAGAGGAAAAGCAGGAGAACATTCACGTAAGATCCAATTTAGTAATTCTGATTTTAAGGGGTGTAGGGTTATAGGTTGAGGGAAAGACCAAAACTGGGAGGGTTTTCCAAGATTTGGCAATACGGTGAAAAAAGATTGGAGCAGAGAAGTACGACATCCGATGACCGAAATCTGATAAAGATGACTAGATGCCTGTATAAGGGAAAGGCGGGCAGAAATTATGGGAAAAAGCATTGCTGAGGCAACCCCTGAAGAACACAAAGCATAGTAGTAACGGTGCGGCAGGGACAATGAAGCAACTGCCCGAAGATAGGCTAGGGACTGGAGATGGGAGGTTAGAGAAGGGTGATCGTCAGCTGGATGACCTTTCGTTGAGCAAGATCAAATAGGGAAAGAGAAAATGACGAATCCCCACCCAACATGTGACTGCAGTATTTCAGATCCGGGCGGATTCTAGCTTTGTAAAGCACAGAAAGATGAGCTGTGATGAAGAGGTGTCTGACACGGAATAAAGAATCAACTTTGAGTGCAGCAGGAGAAGCAAGCAGACCTATAAAAGGGGAATTGTTATAGGCAATCCAAGATGGGAACAACAGTTTTGTGGATCGCAGTTGGGTGGAATTGAAAAGATAAATTGAAGGGGGGGGGATGAATGGTGTTATAGAGAAATCGAAAGAAAGGAGGTTTCAGGAGCATTGATTGAAACATGGCTGACAAGAGGAAATGTGTTCAAGATCAGGGTCCAGTGACACATTGACTGCACTACGGTCACGATCGATGTTGATCTGGGTATGGCAAGTAGTGCGGTAGGATAGGGAGCAGAGAAGGGTGACGTCATCGGCAAAAGAATGGATTGGGTTGATAGTTTTAGAAAAGAGATCATTGGTAAATAGAAGAAAGAGAGTGAGCGCAAGTACTGAACCTTGGGGAACGCCAGCATTCATAGGGAACGGAAGCATTACAACTCCATCAACTCGGGAGGAGATGTTTCGCTTACTGGGGAAACTTGATGTCCACGCTACGAGAGCCCGAGGGAACCTGAACCTGGTCAGTTTCGCCAGTAGACCTTCCTGTCAAACTCGGTCGAATACCTTTGAGATATCAAACGAGACCAATTGTGTTTTCAGTGGTTGTGAGACAAGAGCCAGCAGGTCACCGGTGGAATGAAGCTGTCGAAAGCCACATTGGCGGTCAATCAATAGTCCTTCACATTCGACGAAAGTGCGGTAGTTGGTCAGGGATGATGGTTTTAAATACTTTCGAAATAATAGATGTAAAAGAAATGGGTTGGTAATTGTTGGGGTTAGAAAGGCCGCCACGTTTGGGAATGGGAAAAATCACAATGTGTTTCCAAGGGGTTGGGAGAGTATAGTGTTGGAGGGAAAGACTGAAAAGATGACGTAAAATAGTAACCAGCTCGGGAACACACATTTTGAGGACGATGGGTGGAATACCGTCCAACCGGGTGATTTGTCCCCGTTTAAGGAGTGGTGGATTTTCATAGTGCTAATATGAGGTAGAAAAAGGTTACCAATGAAAAAGAAAGGAGGTGGAAGAGTATAAATTGGAGACATATTTGAAAACGTCCGAAAAGAAACAATAATCGTTTCGGGAATAAGAAGTTGAGAAATCATGGAACTCGTCCCAGTTGTCTGAGGTGTGGAACCAGAATGTGTCTCGCGCTGGGTGGCGGATCGGGGCAGGTCAGCTTAATAGAACAAGAAACAATATAATGATCCGATGAGCCAAGAGGAGGGAGAGTAAAACTATCCGAGAAGAAAGAATGGGTTGGAGTGTGAATGAGATTGAGGGTGTGGGCACGGTTGCGAGTTTATTCAGGTACACGTGTGGAGAGGTTAACTAATTGGCTCAGGTTGTTAACCGAAGCGAAATGCTCGGCTTCGCGCCCAAAATGATGAATGTGTCGTGGAATCCTGACCATGAACGTCGAAATCTCCCAAGATGATAACATGGCAGTTGAGGTCGAATACAAACAAGCGTTCAATGTTCGATATAGAACGATGTAGGACACAAAGTAATGGTTGCACAAAGGAAGTCGGAGAAACAGCCACGTCAGTTGAAATTCACAATAAGAAAAGTCAAGATTTGGGGTCCTGGAGGCGGTGAATCATTGGTGGATGAAGGCGCGGAGACAAGCTTTGGGTAGAAAGGAGGATTGAAAAGTGTATTTGAGGGCTTGAAGGTGGATGGTGTCGGACGAGAGAAAGAGAATTGTGTTTCGGTCAAAAAAGGACGGGAGGAGATGAAGAATGAATAATCAATAAGGCGGTCCAGTTTGTGAATGTTGCTGTGTGATGAGTGCGTGTTTGCACTGCGAGTGCTCGGAGAGACCGAGGAAGCGAGAGCGTGCGCAATTTCGTACGATTATATTTATGTTATAAGAAGGAAACCGGCAACCATTATCCTGAGACTTGGAGTGACTGATCACATAAGACTCCAATAGATCAGGCCTAGTTTTGAGCCGAGCCACCGAGTGGTTGAGAAGACTCGCAGTTGTCTCCTTTGCAATTTATTGTATTTGGTTACAAACTTCCAAGATGAATTAATTTACTGAAAGAGCCATTTGAATGATCTGTATTTTGGGCCCCAGTATTACACATCCCATCGGGTTCACGCTTCAGCAAGCGTTGTTCCGAAACGATATTTTAGTGTTTAAACAATGCATTGAGATGATATGCCCACTTTGTGGCTGAGCGATGTGATGAACTTGAGCAGTGGGCTGTACGCCAATCAAGCATCATGAAATCTTCCCGTTTCCTCTTTGGACACACCGATAAAACGAAATGGATCTTGTGAAGTGTAGCTCACTTATTTGGATTCACACTAGGATTACTGGAGTTTATGTTGAATAGAATGATAAGAGACAAAAAGCTTCAACCAGAATAGATAACGTCAGGTTGACTGATGAAGTGAACTGCAATGAGGTCTCCTATAACTTGGGAAATCACCGTTTCTGCATATCACTACCGTAGGTGCACTGTAAATTTAAACTGGGATTGTTCGATGAAAGTTAGAACATGTAGTCACCATAGAATGTCCCTCGAAACTGGTCAGTTATTTGGTCTTAGGAAGGTGGATAAAATCAAATCGAATATTATTGCTCTTACTCTCTACTTTCTCAAATTCAAAAGAATCCGTTGTCATTTCAAAAGCATCTGCCAAACGCGTTACATCAGTAACCACTCGAAATGATCGGTGCTTAGGCGTCACACATGACCTATCACAATTCTCATTCGGTTGAAATCAAATGATTTTTCGATCAGTAAATCAAAGTACTTGTCAAACGAATTACCGAGTGAAAATGTATGTTTTAGTGGCTTTGGGTGATTGGGTGGGTTCTGAGTACCCCGCTCCCACCAGGGGACCTTATATCTCTGATCATCGATTGAGTGGGGCATGGACGAGAACGAACGAACGAACCCGGTTGAGATCGACCTTGGTCGGTCGTGTAACAAAGCTACTTGTGACAGGATATATATCGATAAACCTTAGATGTAAATGCGATTTTGAATTGTTGCATCGGCATGTTCTGTCTTAACCGCCGTTGACCTGGCCCAGTTTTCCCCCAATCGTACCGCTTGGTTAGGAACAAATGCGATGTTTTGACATTGAAAGGTACATAGAATCAGTGCTACACAGTGATCAAAATACGCAGAAAGAAATGGTAGTGATTCACCTGAACAGCCAGGCCACCAACTGTGTCGCGTATGATAACCCGGTTGGGACAGAAACGGAGCGGATAAGCATTTTGTTAGACTCTGCAAATATGCTCCAATTTGGATAACTGGTTCTCACAAGATTACCCGTTCCGCTTGGCTATATGTTGCCGCTTCAGCCTACACAGATGGACAAATCAGTTCATTCGTTCTAAGATGAAGTCACAACAAAAATCCTGTCCTATCATACAAGGCGACAATGATTTAACTGTCAGTCAATCACTTTGTTGTGGAACCTACCGGTTTCAGAGAAAAGAACACGTTTCGACACCCGCGAGGACAAATATGTCTTTGCTGATTCACTGTATAACCCTGGGGTTGGTTGAGAAGCAGGTGGCATGGTCCAAGCTATTTTCTCAACGAGTTCTTTCGCGTCCAGACAGCCACAGTTTACCGTTGTTGCAATTGTTTACCTGCGCTGCATAAAACTTCTCTGGCATGGAAGCTAATGACTTCAATGGAATTATTCAAACTAGTAGGTGAATACCATAGATCTCAGTGAAAAAAAGATGTACTGTGAGCTGCCATCAGCTGCTAGCTGGCTCAAAAATAAGTTCTTTGCTGTGGTTTTACTCAAATTTTACACGCTCGGTTACCTTTTTTAATCATTAATAAGAAAATTCACTTCCAAGAGCGTCCACTGGAGTGGAAATCACGTATATACACACACACTGACGCTTACTGGCAGATAACCAATTGCATCACGAGCTTAGAACGTGGTTTTCTTCGACCGTGAATAGAGTAGTTTCAACCTCCTGGGTATCCAGTGTACTGGGGTCGATGAGCGTGTTTAAAACTATGACTAATCAATTTTGAGATCAATTATGTTCAGCGTCACTGATCAAACACAAAATGTGAAGTATTAAGATAACGTGACTGTTGGGTCGAACAATACAATATGTTGGCCTACAAACCTTAGTGCTTTCACGTTACTGAACTCTTATCAAGTGGCATGATGTGCATGATGCGGTGAAGAGCAAAAAGAAGAGAGCGTTTCCGGCGAATCAAGTGACGACAAACAGAGGTTTATAGTTCAGACTGTTCAACCCCTGACTTGAATTGTCTATTCATTCCTTCACGATAGTGACCCACTAGGTTTAGACTGTCATATTCAATATGAGAATAGGGGTCTTTTCATTTATTTTTATTTGATTGATAACTATACAATGAGTTTAAAGCTCGTGAGGGAATAGAATGGATGGAGAAAGATGGTAGTGATAGAGCTTATGACTTATATTTCAATGCATCAGTCATTTATACGACCTGAAAACGGCTGATAATCGGCCATAAGCATAATATCGTGTGCACTTACCGATACCAGGTTTTATTTACTGTTCTTTAAGGTGATGGCACACGATCGTGCAACTGAGGGATTACAAATTCAACTCACTGCTATAGATTTCGAGTTCCGATAGAGATAACGTATTACCTTATACTCGCATATCTTACACACTAAGGGCAAATCCCTTTTTGCTGCTTGTTAACAGCTATTACAAAATTTTATCGCAAACGGAATATTGCCTGCTTAGTTAAAGCGCATTGATCTGTGATTAGTAATTGAACACAGATTATAAATCCTTCATTTTAGTCTGTCACTCAATTTCTCGTTTTGAGTGCCATCGCAATCTACCGTATTAATTCATATCGGGCCTAGATGCGGCGCACAGAAACTTGAGTTTTCTGACTGTGTATAACATTGTTACCCTACAATTGGAGAGATCTGTCGATATTCGTTTTTACCCTCTGTTAACCGGGTCAAACAGGGACCCATTTGTGGGACAACCTACATAGATCCAGCTGGTGTTGATCTACGACTATTGACGTTCCCGTTTGAATAACCTGTGCAAACAATCTCTCTGGCAGCTGCATTTGTTCGATGTATACATATTTGATGGATTTCCATCAAAATGTAACAATTTAATCGTTTAGGTTATGACCGAGCCCAGTTTTCTCACCACTAGCACACACGGTGCGCGGAAATGCTTTAGTCCCCAACTAGTCTGATTCTGTTTGCTTTTGCATGTACTGTACTGAATTTTCAATTCTGGTTGCTGCGTTATCTTCCACGTGTGTCTTGTGTCTTGATGCATGTAAAAAATAGAAAATCCAGGATTAGCTTTTTCATCATACTAACTGCGTCTTTGAACCGAAACAAGTATCGATTTATTCCAATAGGAAGGCTCACACTGAAACTAGATCACATGCTTTCCGTTTGTAGCTTGAATCAAAGAATACACTATGTACCTCACTTTTTTTCAATCTTCTTCTCCCATGGTCTTATTTTTGATTGACGCGCAAATCGTTCCCTCGTTAGACACTACTCATTATCAATTTTCCACTCTTCTTAGTTCCTCTTTTTTCTTCGAGCTGGTGCTTGCGTCTATATCCACCAATCTGTTACTTCTGTCCGATCTTCAAACCTTGATTTCTGCGGCTTCGAATTCCAGATAACGTGGCAGAAACTTTGGCTCTTTTCTCTCGACCACTGCTTTGTACCATGTGCCGCTTCCCCAATAATAACGGTCATTTGATTTTCCAGATGTTATCTTCCAATTAAAAAGGTGAATGTTTGGGTTAGCCCGTTAGGTTTTTCACAGGCACCATGCACTGTTGATGATCTTGGTTGTGGGTTTCAGTGCTTGGTAGATCGTTAATTCCCTACTGTTTGTATGCATTTAAATGGAGCACTGCGTTTCATGTGCTCGAGAACGTGTTGCTCGTTTATCGGACTACGTGACAAGTGCTGGGTGAGTCGGATTTAATTAGAGAATTTAATCTAGCAACCATATATGTAACATTTAATTTTTTCACACTAGTAACAGATAGTTGGGGTCTACCCCGTACACAGAATGCAAATAACTGTCCGCATTTTTGCGGACACCAAAAGACAATCTCGTTCCTGCATGAAAGTGTTTTCCATTTTGTTCGAACAGAACCGACAGACACTTGTCACCGATCAAATGCAGTCACCCTACAGTCTGACGCTGGACTACATTCGGAATGAGATCTACTGGGCGGATGGGTCTCGAGGCTCTGTGGACGCATATGACTTGGATAGAGGAACTCGCCGGACTGTGATACAGTCCGATGACTATTATCCAGTCTGGGTTGCGGTGTTTGAGGATTGGGTCTACTGGTCGGATCGAAAACAGAATGCTCTTTTCCGGGCAAACAAAATGACCGGTGAGTGTTACCAATTGGTATTTTCCCGCTGTCCTCTATCCTGTGTAAATTGATTCCCTTATGCCTAAAGGAGTTAAACGAGCATCTACACGACCCTTCTTCCTTCACCTGTATTTTTTCAGTGGTTAAGACACGTTCAATCTTTCCATCAGTAGAAATCAAACTGATAATTTTCACTGTGCTCACGTTTGTTTTCCTATAGTCATCCACGCATCAATTATATTATCACTTTACTCGAACCAAAGTCACTATTTACATCATTTTACCCACATATACTTCAATTACTTGGTTTCCCACCAATTTATTGCACTGAATTTTTCTCCTTGATTTTGTGCGCCATCAGTTGACCCCACATTCAAAGTTAAGCAGCTTACACTGGGGATGATTCACTCCGAGAAATATTCTTGGTCGAGTTTCATAAAATACATGAATTGTTTGCTTTGGTATACTTGAATTCTCCTTTGCACAGTTCTTGATGATAATGAGGCCGTTTAGAAGCTACACGCAGGTTATTTGATCTAAAAGTTGATCACTGGCATCTTCTCCGTAAGATTGGAACTATTTGCACCAAGGAATCCCGCAGATTAACGGCACTACTTTCTTAATATCAGTTTCGTTAAGCATTTTACTTAGGTAGATGTTTCTGTTTTTCAAAATATATCTCGGGTATAAAAACACTAGGTGAGTGATAATTCATAAAGTTGTCCTTTAATTTAAAGCTATTTTACTTTGAGGTTTCTCTTTTATTATTTTTTATAATCAGTCTAAAGTTGATTTAGTCATTCTTCCCGGTGTTGGCAATCCACCTTATAGCTCAGAGGTAAGGGTTTCCACCATCAACCAGAAGATATGCGATTCGAGTCCTATCCGGGATATACACACAATATTATCGAGTCCTAAAAATGACAAAACATCTCCCATAGCTCTTTTTGTTTTGGAGAATGCCGCAGTGCTTTTATGCTTGATATATCTTTGTGCTCTATTCACGCTATAAACAAACTAACGATTCTAAATGCTCTTTAAAGACAATAAATTAATGTGATCAGACGTTTTTTCATTTGTTCTTACATCAGGTGTTAATCGAGTGATATAATGCACTATCATTGGCGTGTACCTTGAGAACAAGTGAAGGCGCCGTCACCGCACACTCGATACCACGTTTATGTCATAGGGATCTTCTGTTGTCAACTACTGCCTCCAGATTCATCGTCATTTTCCAGTGTAGACCACAATCAAACGCTTCAACTGTGTCTTATCCAGTGCATTTGCCTAACTGAAAAGATCTCCAACATGATTCGACCATACTGATGTTTCAGTTAAATACCTCAAATACACGTGAAGAGTTGTTTTAGCATAAATAAACTAACAGCAATACTACGAAAAGTGAAATTAAATGATTCAGATTACGTCAAAGTCACATTTTTACTATAGGAATCAGTTACAAACTCATGCTCACCTTTTCCCCATAGGATATGTACACAATTTGATCGTTTCTCGGTAAAAAAAGAAATGTCTCTTATTGTTCCATGTGTGGAGATAACACATAGTTTTTAGCTGTTTTGCGCCTTTAGTAGAGTTGGAACGTGAGGTATGCCATAGTTTCATCTAAGTACCAATTGAAAGATTCAATAGCTAGCGCACAAACGATGTGTGATGAGAGAGCGCTCTGACTGCAAAGGATTGACACGGGTATTCCAGTACATTTTGTAACAGGTAGCTTGAAACGATGGTCTCGAGGTGGATTTTTGGTGACAACATGAACAGTGGACGACATGGATGGTTTAGGTTCCGTAATATTTGATACACCAAAATAAGTCTCCTCAAATCCGGCGGTACTGGGTGGAATATAATCTCAATGATAATAATTTCTCACCGTAGCTGAGGCAATGCAATCTCTTGACCATTTTGGTGGCAACTCTTTGTGGCCGCTCCAGCATCTTTCAATCACGATGTGATCATGGATTCCAGGCTTGGATTGCGTACTCTGTGTACGGTCGAATGTGCTCACTGATAGCAAACGTGAGAACAGTGCAGACTTAAAACGACCAAAGACGTGCCCAGGCAAGAGGATACTCTTCGCAACTGCGGAGGAAGCCCTGGGAAAATTAACCGAAGTTTAAGTTTTCTTGAACGATGATACCCAAGTCCTTCTCACTAGAAGCATGGGGCAGCTATTGATTTCCCAGAAAATACGTGAATTTACATATGTGATGTACTTTGCATTTCGAAACAGATTAGCGATGAATGACAAAAGAATTGCAAGCAATATACATGTGCCTCGACTTGCGCTTATCGTTCTAGGTCATCTTAGATACGTGCTGACCAGTTTCATATCTGAAGGCGAAATACAGTGGTAGCCTCTACTGGAATAGCGTTATAGTCCTGACCCTTTAACGTTGACCTGAAATTGTTCAGTAGAATACATCTAATTTCCTTTCTCATCTCTGGGACGTGACCAAGTCATTTATGGTCTCCCCCTTGCTCTGTTTTTTTGTAACAAGAATAAAGGGCATCGTTACTGTCTATGTCCACCGAACACGTGTCAAGCCTGTCTCACTTGGTCAAAGTACATGAAGCACGAGGTGGCTTAGAGCATTGAGAAGGAAAGTGGTTGTGACATGTCATTCGGTACTATTTGTCATCATTCCATGAAGTAGGACGTTCATCTTCCAAAATATCGTGCAAGCCTGAGTAGAAATGAACCTGAGAATGCACGAGAAAGCATATGCTGGGTCAATGAGTCCTCAATTGTTAGTTTCACATAGAAATTGCACGATCGAGTGTCGAGTTGACTGGGGTGTAGGACGTTAATTTCAGTCACGTAGACAGAACTTGACTGATTCGTGCAGTCAAAAACAGAATGACAATAGTGGCTCATTGTTATGAGTGCGGAGTACAGGAACTGCAAAATCAAATGGACTCGGCAACTTTAACGATGACCTCTCACTCCGTTCGAGTCACCTCACATCGGGCGGCCGATACGGCAAGGTCAATCACGCCACTGAACGATTGACTGGGACAGAGCAGGGGGTTGGACAGAGAGAGAGAGAAGTTGCGTAAATAAAAGAAATCGAACCTAACCGAATGTGCGTGCTGCAGGTTTGTCAATCGGCTTATCCGTTCTAATGGACACAATATGGAAACACACTAGGTCGAATGAGGGTGGACGCAGATCTCGGTCAGCAGTGAGTACACATGCACGGGGACATGCACGTACTCTGCCTCCCCGATCTGTCTGTGAATTGGCCAAGGAGAATGTGTGAACTCGGTTTGCTTTGTGATAGTTGATTTCCAATCTGCCAGTCTTTTGGCCGGGTTAGACCCCAGACCATGACAAGAAAAATGCATGAGTGCATACGGTGGAAGCTGACATTGTTTAAAGCAAAGGGACTGAGGGAACCTAGAGGGATACGCTGTTTCACGAACAACGAGCATGATTCACTGCCAAACATCTCGCTCGGTTGATACGTTTCTGCCCATCGTTTTCCTCACCCAAATATCAAATACACCTTGCATTGGAATTAGCAACTAACCGTTGGTTTGATTTTGTATATCTTTTTAAATCTAGTTTATCGTCTAAATAACAAGCAGCTTTTTAATGGTCGAAACGAAGGATATTAGAAAGGTGTTTCCACTTGCTAGGAGTGTTCAACTGAGGTGTCATCGTCAAGATTTCGGCACACAGATGAGAAAAGTCCTTATTGATCACGAAATTACATGGATCGATTTTATTCGAATTTTATTTAGGCGAGTGTAATCCCAGTCTCCTCGACAGATGTTTATTTTCGGAAAATTGTATTCACTCGCGCAAATACGATTGCACCTGAAATATTGATTTTGTCATAATGTCCGTTAATTTTTTAATTTAATAAATTCTAAAAGCTGCTACTGTTCAACACTCGACTACTTAACCAGTCTCTACTAGCGGTGCATCGTCTTAGTGGCAATCAAGCTGAGATCACGGCTATCTGAAATGATTTTACAGTACAGGTAATTAGGTCCAGGTACGTTCAGTCAAGTGACTAACGGGAGCTGTGTGGGGTAGTGTTCATATTTGAGAAGCTGCTGGTGACCAGCTCGGATAGGCAAAGGAGTTGTTTCCGGGTTCGAATCCTAATGGCTATGTAATTCTGATGATTCCGAACAAGAACGGGACAGTTTTACATTGCTTACAAGGTGGTAAGTGGCACTTTGACTCCACTTGCCGAATACATTTTTTAACTCCAATCGAAAGCCTCCCACCAAGTCAGGACTTCCTTGCAGGTACGGACTGTCTAGCCAGCTAATCTACAAGGCTGGATTGATATTTCAAATTTGATTCACAGTTACTTGTGAGTAGAGGTGTGGGATAAATGGTTTTTATTGATTTGAGTTGACTATCCTTCGGACTTCACCTCCACGCACAATCTTCAGTTCATCGATTCAACCATACACTGGGAAGCACTAAACTCCAGTTTCCTCTTATTGGAGCTCATCAGTAGTGCATATCCACCGTCCCGTCCGGGATTTGAACTCCGGGCCCTACGCATGGAAGGCGTGTGCATTACCACTGTGCCAGCTATCAGTGCATTTTGGCCCGACAGCAACGAAGGGAGACACAGACGACGCACTGAAGAAGACACCTGAACAAACATAAATTGGCAATTCGGTACAGCCATGGCATCAGCTAGCTGGCACCATGGTAACGCACACGTCTTCCATGCGATGGTTCCGGCGTTCAATTCCCGGACGGGACGGTGGATATGCACTACTGATGAGCTCCAATAAGAGGAAACTCGAGTCTAATTCTTCCGAGTATATGGTTGAATCGATGATATGAGGATTGTGCGTGAAGGTGAAAAAATGTCTTTTTACTTCCTTTTTCTATTTGTTGAATATACAAATGTACAGTCAACTTTCAGGAAGGGGGTTGCGGCCATATAAAAGCTGCCTGGGGAAAATACAAATATAGGGAATACAGGCGGCGGTGAAGCGGTTTGAACCCGGGACATCCAGGTCACTAGTTGGTGACGTAATCACTTGGCCACCACCGAAGGATATTCAGCTCAAATCAACAAAAAACAATTATTCCACACCACTAATCACAAGTAACTGTAAGTCAAAACAGGTGCTATCATTTGTGCCTAACTTGATCTGAACTGCTTGGCATGTTCGGAAGTCTATGTGCATACAACATGGTACATACTCAACACTGGACCACTCATTGACATTGGATTATTAGCCTGCTAACACTGATTATCCTAGATTATCCTCCGATGGAGAAGCTTGTCCGCGTGTCTCGTTCACTATACAGAAAATTTCTCTCGGTTTAATGTGATCCATTTTATAAAAGTGCAAAACGCCTCGGCACTGTTCCAAACCACGCATACACACCTACGTCTCCGAACACGGTCAACAAGTGATTCAGCTTCCATGGACCGGGAACATAGTGGTGAGGTGTTGAATGGGAATACAGTTGAATAAACGGTGAATATGACAGGTACAAACATTTCGATCAGAGATTTGAAACAGCTACTATGAGGTGTCGGGTAAACTGGACGGGGATGATAGGGACAGTTTCACACTAAAATATGCAAGAAAATCACTTGGGTGATATCTTCAGTATTTCATTCACCTGCTTTCTATTGCATCGATGGTGGTGAGAAACATCTTATATATTAATCGTATGAATGATCAGAGCAATACTGAACGCGGTTTCGGAGTTGTTTGTGTGTTCCCTGTTTGCCGTGTACACTGAACCGTTGTGCTTTCCTGTCATTTTATTGACTTTATTAATAAATGTTAGGACGTTTTTGTTATTCATTGAGATAAATCTCCTACTATTCTGTTCAGTATCATTCAATAGAATCAACCAACCCCCCCCCCTGATGCAATTAGGGCTACATGATGAATGTGATCTGATATAGTAATTGAAATACGAAAGATACGACGGATATACGGTTTCATAATTCCATTGCCTTTTTATCGCCTCCATAGTGAAGATCCATTTCATCCTAACCGTTTAATACCTCACTCACTTCATGCCGGGCACCCAGATGTGGGCAGACCGACGAACAATTTGGACCAGCTATTCATCCGTTACTCTACTCATGTGTTCGTCAGTGTGTACGTGGTGCTGTAGATGTTTTTTGGACTAAAAGCTACATAGCTAAATGCCCAAGTTTTATTTAGATTGGGATAGAAAATAAACTTCAAACGGGGCTAGATTTGTGACAATCTCCCGATCAGTGTAACCCCATATGAAAGAAGCTTGACGTATGCGTTTTCAACAGCATTCCGCTACGAACAATTTTCGCCACGGAATGAACTTATTTTTCTCTAAACAGATGAAAGAAGATGGAGAAACATCAGTGGCATACATATCAGATAGATATGGTACCGTGCCATGACTCCAGTTCCATTATGAATCCAAAGAAATTTGTCCACATGCGTCCGTTTTACTTTCAGTAATGTTTTATGCATAATACCAATTGTATCCACAGTTGTAATTGATATTATATGTGGATCCGATACCGAAATATCAGTTTGAATCCAATTGTCTTTTAAAAACGAATGCATACGTGTTGTAATAAGTAGTATGTGAATAACTGGACAAAATTTCCCTGGAAGCACGAGCGGTTTTGCGGTGAATGCTGCCAATTGGGCGTGCAAATCCAGTAGTATTTCATCTAGTTTATCACATACTTGAAATCCGGATGTACAATTTTGCCAGAAATCTCTAATCAAAGAGACGGGGGTGCGTTTTACGGAGATAATGTTTAAAGATGCCCATCCGCGAATTAAAGCAATGTTTTTAGGGCTTAGATGCTACCAACCGTGTCAAATTCGATAGAATGCCATCTAGCCCGCAAAAACCTTTCCTGGAATCATAGCTTTGAGTCACCAATGAACTACTTTGAACAGAGTGTCTGCAAAATATGCCCTCCCCGTTTCACTGGTTAGAGATCTCGGAAGAAAAGTAATGCTTGTGGTCTACCGATACCAACAGCGATATGTTTTCCCTAAATAATATGACCATTAAGAGACGGTCACAAATAATTTTGCATTTAATGAGGAACGCAGTTTAGCTAAAAAGCTTTTTTTTCGGAGATTCATCCACTGGCTAATGTCACATTTTCTATCACATCATTTTGTATAGAAAAGAGGAAACAAAATTAATGATTATTCAAATGGGGATTTTTGTTGTTGTTGTTGTTTTCTGAAAGATGGAGGGTCAGCCATGGTAGGTTGAGTGACTTCACAAACGCGTGTTCGTAGACGAATTCCGACCGCCTCTGCAGTGGCTAGGATACGGTTTGATCCGCGACCTTGAACACACTAGAGAGTCCGAAATGCTTCAATCGCACTCACTGTGCGATCGGACTCGAGGAGGTGTGAAACGATGGCACTTGTAATAGTTTTACTCACATCGGTGTTCAGCCAGGCCAGATGATGTTCCCGAACTCGCGCGGCCGATATACGTTGCATTTCTTTTACGGAATTCAGGGGTCCATGGTTGAACATTTGTGTTGTGTACTCCTTCATTTGTCCCTTGCTCAACCCTTCAGTCGTCTATTGCAATCATTTTTTGTTTCATTTTTATCTTGTTCCTGCTATATCCCTGGGGAAATTATGGGAACATGTTGACCAATAATATCGCGGATGTTCGAAAAAAAAGAGTACTGTTTCCGCAAATCGGGGGGAGGAATCACGCTGACGAAACGGGAAAGATGAGTTCATTCCTGATATCTAAATAATGCCTCGTAATTAGCAACATCATCTTCATGCATGTCCCGAGGGAGTTTGTTCGTGTAATCTCGATGTTGTTCGGCGAAACCCTGAACGTATAGATGGAATACAGTTGTCTTTTATTCCTTCAGTGGATTCCGGTCAAGCGAGTTGCGGGCGTATGTCGTGGAAAACACAGATTGCCCGTATGATGATAAATATTCTGTTTCTTGTTTTCTAAATCTATCGAACATCGCACCGACTGAGTGCAACAAGTTATATACACAACGATACCAGTCAATGTGATAGTATCTTGATTAAACATAAGCCACAAATGGAAGGCTCCAAGAAGGACCACAAAGACTGATGTTTGTTGGACTGGAACATCTAAGAGTATGTTTTCTTCTCCTTAAAAGAATTGAGTACTGGGACTTTTTCTCCAACTTTAATAAAAAAACTCCTTTGCTCGGACGAGCACAAACCAAAGCTAGGTTAGGGTAATCATTTGGTGACAAACCTCAGTGATACCTTCATGAGCTGTTGAATTTTAGTTGCATTTATTTACATTCATTCTCATTAATCGACTTTACTGAGTGAACCAGCGCCCATGGACGAATCCTTGGATAAATCTGCAAATAGTTACAAGGATGCAACGCTAATGTCTTCGATTTCTGTGAAAGAGTTAACGGTGAAACTTTCGGAGTATTGTACGACTTCCGGTGTCAAATTTTCTGAGACGATTCTTACAGCCCACGACCCCCATTGCAAGTAGAACAGAAACGTTATCGCTTGCATCAGTCCACACCCTCTCGATTCCGCCAAATTTCATCTCATGTAAACGCTTACCGAAAGTCATTTAATTATACCCTATCTTGCACGTTCATTGACAGACAAAGAGAGAGTAACAAGTGAATTTTGTTTTATACTTAGACTTTAGAATGCCCCTTTGTCCGTAAAACCTTTTCCCTATTAAATATATTTTCTGTGACGGTTAGCGTGTATGGTTTTTAACTGAAATTTAAGCCTCCTTGATCGTAAAAGTTATGCACAATAGAATACAATACAACACAACACAATACAATACAATTCTATTGTCTTCAGCACCGCTTAACCATTTGTATTGAGGTTGCCGCTCTAATCCTTATGTAAACTTATGCAATTTTAATAGCAACAGAATGTTGAATACGGCCTTGTTTAGATGCAGATCATTCGCTGGTATCCCAATGCTTTCCACGGACATTCATAGCTTTTGTTGCGGAAATTTTACCCGCCAAGTAAAAATCGGCTGATTGTCCTCAACCATGTACCTAGTGTAACAAGGCTCACCTGTTTACGGTTCACCTTCTAACTGGTGTTTCTCCTACCGGTCCCGAAGCTCCATTGGCGGCAAACTTACACTAGCTCCCATCCTTCGAAATTGGTTACCATCATTTGGAACTCGATTACAACAATTTCCATAGATATTTCGTGTTTGTGGAAGTTTAATTAGCAAAGGTATCGAGGGCATAAACCGTAGTTCATGCGCAAGAAGTCTCACGGGGAAACTGAGTTACTGAAGTGAAAACCCTTCATTTGTGCGTAGCGAGTGTTTTCTGACTAAAGACTGTTACACACATTTTCACAAGAGGTACATATTAATCGAGCAAATGTATCTAAATAATACCAATTGTGTATGACTTAATTTTTAAACTGGGTTATTTTTAGCAGAACAAAACAGTAGGTGAATAACAGCATTGCAGTCAATTAGTCTGTATAAGCATAAGTCATTTCGTTTGCTTTACACTAGCGTTTGCCATTTGAGGTATTTTGTTCTACAATTTTTCTTTCCAATCAGGTGCGGATCCAGAATCCATGTTTTCTATCCCAGATCCACTCAGTTTTCGTCTCCAGCACGATCTACTACGTCCGGTTTGGGTCAATCGATGTACTCGACATCGTTGTCAACAACTTTGTCTCCCAGTTCCATTACGTTCTTATCCCAACTACTCCGATCCATTTCGGTGCGCTTGTGCTGAAGGTTGGCAAGTGGATCCTTCTGACCCGACCCGATGTCGCATCATTGTCTCAACCAACGGAACCGAAACTATCTCGGAAATGGCCTTCAGTCCAAGTGAGTTACTTGAGTAGAGTAAGATTGGACAAAAGGAATGTGTTTGAGGAGGGGGCCGTTTTTCGTTTCAATCACGAATAATTATCTTTTTTGGTGGATCAGTTTTTTCAAATTACAGTTGACGAAATCTAAGGACCTTTTTTTCCAGAACTATTAACCAATAAACATTTACGGAAACAATACACTGCATCAGGATATTCGGTATCTGGTAAACAAATAACCCTGTCTCTGTCCAAACCTTAAACCCTGCGGATTAAAGAATTACTGCGCTTCTGGGCATTGGGAAACAACTTAAGTAGAGACAATAGACTCTGGGTTCATTTGAAGTTAGCTTACGCAGAACTAAGATTTGAATTCTCTTCGAATACCATAAAGTCATAGGTGCATAATAGCTGTACTGAATAACGGATTAAATTTATCACATGTTGGTTTCTGAAGTGACGGGAACCAAAAATTGTTGAGTGAGAACATGCTCGAATTTCAAAAGTCATATGACCTTTCGCACTCGTGAACATGTGGTCTCCCTATTTTGCGCCAGATATTTGCACTGACGATCAACGGGTGACGCATATTGAACTGTGGCTCCACGCCTACGCATCGCCATTCGCGTGGTGGCGTGATCCAAGGTCATTACTCCGGCCGAAAACCGACCAATCAGAAAGCCGTGTTTAAGACATGCTTTCGTCTAGTATGTGGGGCACCCTAGTTTAGCGCAGTGGGCGGACTATCGGCCTGCACGGTTTATCGAACTTATTGCTGTTCCTATTAATCACGTTAGGGTCCTTAAGCCCCGATCGTTATCTGCTGATAGATGCAAACCATAAGTTCCCAAGCGGTTTCGTGCTTTTGTGCATGAAAATTATTCCATCTGCTGGCTCATATTTCATAGGTTTGGCCGTTCATTGTGACCATCGGATTTGGTTCCTAGGCTTTATCGGAGAAATGGATTTTTCGGGAAATACAGAAAATCCATCGACGTCCTTGTGAGTTGTGCTTGTTACACTTGTATAAGAATTTCCGGGGTTCGATCATCGACTCTACTCTCAATCTTCTTGTCTTTCTCCAACTGCTTTTTCCAAATGGGCAGCCAAAAGGCACCAACCAAAACCGGTGCACGAAAATGCATAGGTAATGGTTGTACAAACTGAACTGAATTGTACTGAACCGAGGTGAAGTTGCTATGGAGGGTTCCCAAAGTTGTTTTCTTCATCTCACTGCAAATACATTTTTCGCCGTTACCCAACTGGGAACATGGTGACGGAGCCTGTGGGTTTCAATATATTTGATTCAAATATTAGAAACATCGGATTAAACGAAACAATGGATCACAAAAGTTTATAGTTTTGTTTAGACAATCAACAGTATAAATAGTACTATCCAACTAAAATATTCCCATTTCAAGTGAATCTGCCTTAAATGAATGAACGTACCAGTGTTTGCATCCAGGAAATTACTAACAATATCGCTGAGTTGGTTTTCACATGTAGTATATCGGATCATGTCTTTCTCGATGCCATTTCACCTGAAACAGATACATTTTTTTCCGATAATAAATAAGACTTATTCACGAGTGAGTTCACAAACGTCAGATTGAGTGCAGGTCTTGACCGTTCGTTCCACACATTCAAGAAGCCCGTGAGTGACCAACTAAAGACCACATGGGGATTGAACGGGGATATGCAAACCAGACGGCAGTTGGCCTCAATCGATCAGTTAAAGTGAGCTGCGTATAGATAAATCGATGATCTGGTCAACGTACTCGATCGAACATGTGGATATAAGCCAGGTCTTTGAGGCTTTAGCTGAGAACGTGTCCACGAAAGTTCAATAAGCGCTCTATTTTATCCCCTCATGTCCTCGACTGTTTTACTTGTTTCCAATCGAACGCAAAGTTATGTATTCCTTAAATTTTTTGGATAATTCCTTATTTATTTTTTGAATAGCTACATAACCCAAAAACAGCAAACAAAATATTTCGTTCATACACAATAACCTCTCAGATTTTTCTTACTTTTCTCCCGTCGAAGCAAAAGATTAGTTCCTGCAGTAGTCTTCACCACCGGAAAACGAATATATAATCTAATCATTTATTTGATCCTGGTGAAATACTAAAATAATATGCAATCGAGTTGAATAGTTTGTAATCGATGAAAGTACACTTCTTATGATGAGATTTATCCATGACCACAGATCAAATTGTAAACTTGAAAAGCAGTCATCCGAACTGTTACTAAGTTTTTGTAGTATGACAGTGGTGAAACAAATGAAACGATCAGGGAACACCAGCTTATAACAATAAATTTGTTCGGATTGTATTAAAGCAAAAACTACATCCGTAGCTTCAAGGAACAGTTTCGCATCCAAGAGTGAACCCTTAAAAATCTGAGAACTGATAAGAAGACCGGCTATGTCTTAAGTCCAAGAAACTGCAGCAAGTTTTATAAGCCAATGCCGACTCGAAGTGGCTTGAATCCACTTTATCGAATAAATTACAAACAAAGACAATCGCATTATCTAAAACGTCCGCTCGTAGCGAAAAACGGAAAAGAACCGCCTATCAGGAGTTGTGAATACTACTAATATAGTGGTCATCTCGCTTTACAGAGAAGCCGAGATGAAAATAATCTCACCAAAATTGATGTAGCCATTCAATCTGGAAAGTAGAATTGACTTATATTTATTCGCAAATGAAAACACCTCGGAATGGGTCGTTGTCCGACGATGGAACACTCAGGATGGAACATAACTGGTTCAACTAAAAAATAGACGTATTCAGAAAAGTTTACAACTCAAAGAAAATATATGGAATAAATTAGTACATCAGAAACGCGAAAATGCATTTTATTCATCTTATCTGGCAACAAATTACGAAAGTGCTCTTTAGATTACCTTATTTCTTTGTCCATCCAAGGCAGCGGATGTTTATTCTTAGGAAAATGTGCTCATACTACTCGCTAGTAGTTGAAATATAACATTTGAAATTGTTTGTCGAAAAATAGATACGTGTTGCTGTTCCGTAGCGTTGGGAAGGATAGAAAGATGGAAAAAATGATAAGGGCTCATGCAGTTAATTCAAACTCATTTATCTCATGAGATAAACCCATGACACTCCAAAACGTGCATCAAGTCACTCATTATCGTTTTTTACCTATGTTGTTTTGTACTGGTATTGAATAAAATTTCTCTATAATTTACAGGTATCAAATCGAAACCCTCAAAGTTCTCGTACCAGCTACGAATCTTATTTTCCCGGTTACTATTTACTGTGACAATCTTGGACTGATTAAAGTCTACGTCCCAAAAGATTATTTTATTTCAAAGAAACATAACTGATCTTTTACTTATTTTTAATCTTTAAGTACGATAACAAACTTTTCAGTTGTCTTCTTCTTTCCGCTCTTATTTTTTTAGTCGATCCGGATACGTTCTGGGATGAACGAGGTAAGCCGAAGATGTATTTGCAGTCAGTGTCTATCGTTCATTTGACACGTTTTCTAGTTTCATGGAATGTGACTAAACTCACTTTTGTACTGTACCAGGTTCGTTGATGCAAAACTGTTTTCTCTCTGCTCCCTTTGGACATAAACCTGAAAGCCGAGATTAACGCTACGCGGAAAATCCAAAGACAAATCGTGCAGCTCCTACTAACTCAAGTTTACGCAGTGTTTTGTCGCAGGGCTTAAGTATCGCTCGTACGCGGAGTTTCGTTTCTCACGAACTAACCCCTCAATACAGCCAAAAGGTATATTTCATTGATATTAAGTCATAAAACAACGTGAGAATACACCCGCAGAGGTTTGTTAAGTAGGCTGAATAAACTAAGAGATAAATCAAGCCCTGGGTAGGCCACAAATTTGGGTTGAATCTAAACTGTGATAAATATTTCTTCAAGAGTACTGAAACCGGAGATATTCAGCGTGTTATTTTGGAAACTACTCAGTTGGTCATTAACAAAGAAGTACATTAAGTTGTAAACTTCAGTTGATGTGCACAAACTCAGACGGGTATTGTTATGTCTCACCAAGACGCATGATTGATACACGCACCTCTTGGCTAGACCCCGACAACTGGAGAGAGAACAAGGCTGAGAAAACGACAGTCAGAGTGTATTTTTCTTGATCATGAAGCAATACGCAAATATAAGTGGTAAATTAGGTGTACGAGAAACGACGTGGTGACGCACCAATCAGGTTGTGACCTTGATACACCGATTGATCGATCGGACGACAGCTGTCTGATTCGCCTTAATCATCCAATCCGGAATCGATTTGGCTTGGGCGTCACGAACGCACTTGCGGTGTGACGCACGTCGATGCCTGGCCGGACAGATTTTGGGCACTCCGACCTAACAGGTATCAACGGGGCTAACGGTGCAATGAGATGTTATGAACATCACCGTTCAGTCAATGTGGATTTCCTAAATATGGTTTCATAAGATTAACAAACACTGTACATGTTGGTGCCTTCCTTGTAGCAAGAAAGCCGGTATTGCACTGTTGATTAGAACACTAATAGTATGGTTCTCATGGAAAGTACAGAAGACGCCTGTTCGAATATATACTGAGGTTTTGGGTTCGATTGGTCTTCAGAAACTTTTGCTTTTGATGAGTAGATTGCGATTTCAATATTGTTGCCAAAGCTTACATGTGGCTGACTTTCAGATGCATGTGATATGATCGTCCGCAGACGTTGACCCGGAATTCACGTGAATGAATTCAGTTCCTGACAGCGGACGCTCTTGTCATCATCTACACTAAGCTGTGTATCTAAATAACACCGAAGAGTGGAAAGTTTAATGCCACGTTCGATTTGTGTGAGAATCCGTAAGAGTACCAGTAGCTAACCTTAAGCATTCTCACAAATATCCCGAATTTATTCATTCCTTCACACTGAAAGTATCAAAAGCACCATGAAAGCAAACTACAACTGACTGATGAAACCTCTGGCGATGTTTTATTGCTCCGCCTTGTGTTATGCTCTGGTTTACACCAACGCAGCAGCGGCGGATGTCTTCTTGCATGAGTCATGAGTGCTCATCCCTTCAGTACGTACAAAAAGCGTTTGTAACTAAACGGAACAAGTTGAAACTCCTGTGTCTTACAGAGCGAATAATAGTCTCTTTGTGAATTCAGCAGTANAGTAAAAGAGATTTCTTCTAATCACTGTGAAATGACCAACCATTCTATCTGGAGCCTAATAACATCTAAAATGCACTCAAAGAGTTTTCAAAGGCCGGTTTTCTGAATCTCTTGAAGTTTACTGTTTCTTGGAGAGCCGTTTTCCTTTCAGTCTTCCCCAACACTTCTGAATGGAATTGAATGACCATATGCTTAGTTTCATACAAACTTGAAAAAAACTGGTCGATTTTACGAATTTTCGGTGGGTTAATGTATCCCATTTGAGGAGTTGGGACACTAATAGAGATGATGTCACAATCCACAACTCGGGCGTACGGGTCTCATTGAAAAGACTGCAGTGTGTGTCGGTGGATGGTCACTTGCAGGTATTGGGTGGCCCACTTGGGTCGCGAATATTCTCATCCTCGTTCTTGGCGGTGGTTGAGGGTACATTCGGTCTTCTCCATAACCGTTGGGGTATGCACATTGATTTAACTATCGATGCAACTACCGTATTTTGAATGAAAACCCTCAGATCAGAGAACCTAGAATCATGATCCATTCGGAAAAGGTCGAACTGTTTGAACGATAAGTGGCCTGGTGATCGATTGGTAACCGTACCCAGGGTACTCCGAGTATCAAACTTCGTTTTATAACCTAACTGTGATAACAATAATTTGAACGCCTTTCTTTATCGTGGGAGCTTGGAATCAGGTTTGGCATCACTGGATTTAACCATTAAACCGCGAGTCACGCATGAGAGATTGTCATGATCTATAGTGCCTGTCTCCCCGAAACTACTCTTCAAGATCCTCCAAGCCTCTTCGTATCCATCAGATGGGTATAGTAATGCGCAGTGTTTAATGACATCTGTTGTGCCTCAGTATTAAAAGAACCATGCAGTGAACTAAACGAATGTATGTACGCATCACATGCACAAGTAGCTAGCCGGTCCATGGACCGGTGAGTAGGTAGGTGAGCATTAGGTAAGGAGATAGACCAACGACAGGTGCAAGCGCTACAAAGAAGTAGAATTTGAAGGAGCTGAGCATTCAACTAACTAATTAATACGGACAGATTAATACTAGTATGATTGGCTCAGGCGAATGGACCTTGAAAATCCGCATAATCTTTGTTCGTGTGTGGTGGCAGGCAGCATCGACCAGTCAATCAATAATTCTATGTGCGGTGAAAAATCAAACAGTTAACTGAAGGCCACAACAGTCTCCCGTGTGCCACCTTCACAATAATGGGTCAGATACGACAGTGCAGTGGCCGGATCAGCGATGTGTCGTCCAACACCATTTTCGAAGTCGCATTTAAACTCTCATCAATCCATGCCGTTGACAATAAGCGTGGTATCTCCTTCTTAGACATNATATTGGCTTTGGACGCGTGGAGTAAACGAAACACGAACTGCAAAGCTAAGAAGCAATGCGCAGCTGTGCATTCGCACTACTGACGAGACCTAATCAGATTGAAACATCTAATGCTGTTTGTTAAGCCTTTGTTGACGTTAAGGTGTTCGGTTGTCACCAGAAACTGATCCAGGTAGGAGACTGACGACAATGAATGCCTTGATATGAACAACATACGTATGGAACAGCGAGAGTTGTGACTCCGCATAGTTGATCTACTTTGTAAAGTCCCTGTGGCTTAATACTATGCAGTTTATTGAACTTAACGATCTAACTCAGTCGAGTTGCAACTGACGACTCATGGATATAAGCGAATCTAATCTCTGAGAGCGATTGTTCATCACCAGTGTGCGGACGGAAGTGAGAGCGTCAGTAGACAGTTGACGGTCAATCATTCGCCCATAACTGGCACTAGGCAGAAACATTAAGAAAAAAATATAATGAAGCATACGGTCCATAGTTGCAAACCAGCAGCAATGAACAGAATAGGGTATCAAGGTCTGACACCTACGCAAGTGGAGATGAAACACGGGGATAAGGTGAATACCATGCCTACAAGACGCAAAGAGCGGTGGTGCGTGACTCAGCTTTCAGACTGGAGTTAGCGTTTAGCATCACACGGGGAACATCAAGGTTGAGCAGACGGTACAGGAGGAGCTGATGAACAATAGGGTGGTAGAAGCCGTTAGACTGGGGGGAAGAGTACGAGGCTGAGTCCGCAGATGCAATCATATTCTTTTGTTTGGTCGGAACAGATCGCTGGGCGCTCCTATAGATAGAATGGCCGGTGACTGCGTTAATGCAAGGGCGCTGAAAAAGCACGGCTAATGAACGAGTGAATGTAAAGATGCGTAAAGGCAAATACTGTAGTAATATATGGGAGAAAACAAACTGGTTGACAGCTTACGTAAGTAAAATTATCATTTTTGTGACTGGAGGGAATCAACACATTCTTTGTTCCGATTCTTAATCATGCCCGCTTGTTTAGAAATCATTGTGATAAATGAACACTTCACCCTGATGAATCTGTGTAAGGAGGAACACATAAGAACCTTGGATGCCTTTACCTATTATTTTAGTTTAAACAATCTCACTTTGACATTTTTCTCATTTTACTAAGTCATTCACCCATCCTTACAATTCCACGCTTGTTTCAGCCTCGTTTCTTCGTGAGTGGATTGGACGTAGGATGCGGGCAGCTACAACCGAGGCCGACCAGATGACTTTTGTCAGCGGGTCGTTTATCCCCATTGCCATTTTACTTGCTCTACTGGTTGCATGCTTACTAGGCCTTGGCGCTTCTTATGTGGCTTTCCGAAACTACCGAAAACACTTGAATCGACAGCTGGGTGCCCATCTAGCCGCAGCTGCTTCGAGTGAGGCCAAATTGTTGCTCAATGCCGGTCCGTTTAATCAGTCCATGGATGAACCGCGACCGTGGGGAAACGATTCCAGTCAAGACCCAATCGAGCTCGATCCGGAAGAGCGACCACGTGTTCAATTTCATGTGCATTCGAGTGCTACCCTTTTAAATCAGAAACCGGACACGGAATGCTGACCATAACTTGGTGTCAGCAGGGCATGCCCTAAGTAATCCGAATCGATACTTCCCCACCAATTATGGTCTAACATGTGTTCCACATCTGAACCGCTGGACACGAATGCAAGCATTGCAGCCACTACTACCTCCAAAGTTTCTTGCTCATTACTTTATTCTCATTGCCATTTCAAACGGAAACTCATCATGACTATTATTCAAAGAGTTGTTCATCTGTTCTCTCTTACTCGACCCCCCCCCCTATAGGTAAATAATAGCACTATTTCACATTTACCACACATGGACACGCGCGCACAATCAGTCAGATTATTGAGGGAAGAACAAGTCACCATCAATTTAAAAATCTGCACCCAGTATGGATCATTTGACTGAGGTCAAACCATCGAGCTTACACACGGCACCCGTAG